AGAGTAATGATTGGTTGAAATCTTTGACGCTAATTTGCTCTAAGATTCGTTGTTTGAATACCAGAATGAGTGAATGCCTCCCGTTGAGTTTGACCCACATTGAAGTAAGGTTTGCCCAAAAACTGAATGAGTATTATTCTACTCATATTCAGAAGAAGTGACAGCGCCCAGTGTCATTTGTAACTGGCGGTTGGTATAAGGGGGTTGATAATCTTGAGCACATAAAAAGGGAGATAGGCTTTCCGCCGGTTGATGGGCCTGTACGTGTTTCCCTTAATAAAACTCTGAGGCAGGATGATCCCGTCCGCTTCCAGATTATGCAGAGAGGATATAATCGGTTACCACGAATGAAAGTTAAACACCTTTTTATGTAAAAACATCGGATTTTAGAGCCGGTAAGGCTGCCTGCCGGTCTGCCTGAAAATATAGTAAAAGTTTTCCCCTGCAGAATTGAATATAGAGAGTCCCCATACCACTCCACAGGGAATCTTCTTTGACAACATAGCTTCCGAATCGTTTGAAGAACATTGTGTATATTAACTCCTTTCTTACGGAAGGCAAAGAGTGTTAGTTTTAGTCTATCCATTCACGGCTATCCACGAAACAATCGACCCGTCAGAAGTAATTCGACGTATCGCCGCCTTTTAAATCCAGATCGTGCATTCTGAAAAATATCCCAAGGATGATATCCGATCTAACCCAGAGAAGCGCTATCTAACGCTCCTATTTGTCTACATCTTTGACTACTTCGAGGAGTCAACAACAATGGCGGCATGGTGGCCTTCCCAGCTGAGCGCAGCCCATTTCAAAAAAAGCTATCGATAGTTAAGTCAGCTTGCAACCTTGTCGAAAAAGGGACTCGGAATCGTATTTGCTCATCGTATATCGTTCCTTGAGCTCTTTTAATAGAAATTAGATGGTTGTTATCCTGCCAAGTGTAGCACAGGACTTCAGCACCAAAAAAAACAGGTGAATATAATTTACCTAACCTAACCTGTGATGAGGCAGTACAACAGTTGATAGTTTTGAGTATCTTTGGTTACGTACTCTTCTTATCAGTTCTTGACTACCTAAAATCTTTTAGCTATAACTTTTGTTCTAGGCCTGCTTTTGTTAATAAACCCATCGGGTTTCTTCAGAAAGTATAGTACACACCTTTCAGCCTTGTATTTTAAAACTTGGATAATGTAGAGTTCGTTCTCCGTTTACTTGATTGTAGAGAATTCGGCACATCGTTTATCGACATAGTTTCCAAAAGAGTATCTTTTTTCGGAACAGCAGCAATTCGGGCTAACCGATTGGCTTCCTCATTTCCTTGGACTCTTATATGCCCTGATACACACATTAATTGGATAGTATTGTTCTTAGCAAGGATATTAAAGTTCTCTATGCACTCCAGGACCAATGAGGATTTAACCTTAGGTGGCGACCTTAACACGAGTCCTCCACAGGAGTCTAGGATAAGACCCAGGGACTTCGATTTTATGACGACAATGACCGCGATCCCATCGAAAGCTAAGGTCCTCAACCACTTGAGCATTCTTTTCCTCAGCACTCCACCTTTGGGCTAGATTAAATCCTCTTTGAACGATCTCGCAGAAGGTATAGGCGAACTTCCCAGTGATTATCTGCATGACTCCACAACACAACTCCACAGAGAAGTAGACAGCGAGCAACCTTTAGCTCTTTGAAGCTGAACTACGCCGTCACTGACTTCAGTTTCAGCAATCCTGGTGTCTAGCGGTCTAGCTATTCATCTTCGGATGGTAGGCTGTACTTTGCGTTTTTTTAAGTGTTATCGAGAGCCCTTTAGGTGTCAAGAAAGGCACACAGCGTTGTATCTCCACACCCAAAGGTTCTTTAAATTTCCTTAGTCAGGGCATACAGTGCCGCGTGTTTTCAGCGTAGAGGAGGTGAGACTTCCGGCCTGTGGGACTTAGCGAGAAAGTAATCCCTCTTACCATCTTTCGGGCTAAAAAGATACCGCGGACCTTTTTCCACACCTCGGAAATGTGAGCCTCTACTACACTGCCGCTCATGATGTTAACACGCTGTGGAAGTAGAAGCTTTTCGCCCCGTTTTGGTAGCACTGTACTGTTGCCATTCACCCCGGGTGCCTTGTACCGTTCGAAAGAGTCCAGCGCTCACCGCACTGGTTATTAAGCCTTTGGCCAGCTTTCAGTCCGATGTGCACGGAATACCGCATCCTTCGAGGCCAAAACGGCATCCGTAAAGTGGGCCGAGTGCTCTTTCCTTTTCTTTACTTGAATACGTAACATAGGCAGCCTGACCGATAGCTAGCCTGCTTCCGGTGTTGTCCTTCAGCACGGCTGTTTAAACCTAAGGACTTTACACACAGACTGGGTGTTTGTAAACAATGATATCGTCTATTTTTTGGAGCTTCGGTTCATGGGACGAGCTTTTGCTGCTTTTAGAACTTTGTCCCCTCAAATATTTTATTAGGCCGGTTTGACATTAATGTGCTACAAGGTAAGACTGAAAAGGTTACATTGCTTCCTTTCCTTGTTCCTTTCTCTCTCTTTTATTCTTCTTTTTGTATTGAATTTCTTCTGAACTTTTCTTCTTTTTCAACAGAGTCTCCTCGTTCGAAATCAACAGACAAATCAAAGCCTGGGCAACGTAAACAAAAGCAACCACAAAATAAAACCGACTTTTCTGAGGATATTGTGAATAGCATGAAACGTTGGAGCATATTGAAAGACAACAATGTCACAGTAGATCCAAATATATTTCGACGCCCAGATAAGTTGGAAAATTTTCTACGCGAAATCGAATCGATTCACAGTTTGATGCAAGACCGTTGTCATTGCCGCATTAAAAGTCCAGAAGAGCTATGCCGCTGAAGTTTAACCAGAAAAAAAAAAAACAAAAAAACAATCACAACTGCAAAGTAGCAAAGGCGGGCAAGAAATTGGAAATGCAAGCGTACTGCAAGAAACAAAGCAATGGAATTGCAGAATTTTCTAGCAAATTGGAAATTTATAGCCAACTCAAATCAACACAACTCGGACAAAATGACATTCAATACACGTCAGGCGCTATGTTCGCCTGTCACTTGCAACGCTTGTCAGTATTATTCATCTTCAACTTCACCGACTGCTTTGCACAATGTAGTACAGTTAATAAAACGTTCATTTTTCATCTAGTTTCTGGCGTACGCAAAACGACCGGAATCGCAATGTTTAGCGCAGCCATTTTTGCTTTGCACCAATAGATGTTACGCAGACTTATTTCACACGTCAACTGTGTGACTTTGATTTTTTCTGCAATTCTCTTTTCTTTTGCATTCATATTTTTTCATGCCTCCTTGCTATGGGCACCTTCGAAAAAAATTCTTAAATGGAAAATTGAATGTCAATTCACGTCAATTGGATACCGAGCAATATTTGGTTATCAAAGTGAACAGAGTGGAATCTGAAGAAAAACTAAAAATTATAAGTAAACAGAAAGCGCTTTAGACACAGAGGGTAAAATCTATGTATCTACATTAGGGTGCCTCGCCAAAAAAAATTCCTGGGTTTCCACTGAAATTATAAAATGTATTATATTTTAAAACTTTCGCCAAAATATTTCCATTTGAAAAGACCTACAAAAAATCGAGTTTTTCATAAATAAAATTAGTTTCCGAAAATAGTATTTCTAAAAAATCTCCTCAGATGATAAATGAGTTTAAACTTAAGAGGTTTTTTGTGTGAAATATTTTGGCGAAATACTTAAAATATAATAAGTTTTATAATTCCGATGAAAAAACGGTAGCCATTTTTTGTATGGATAGTGACGCGCCCCAATGTACATAAATATATACATTATTTAAGGCATGATCTAGGGTACAAAAGCTGTAGGTGGTTTTGCAACGCTTAGATGGAGGTTTAGAACAAGACCTTTGTAGGTAACTTGCCTTGCTTTATCTCAGTCGTTCCTCTTTTAATTTGAATCAGAATAAATATGATTAACACATGTTTTTTTGACATTCGCCAAGTTTAAAAGAGAGTCGCTTTTTCGACTTCTTGAGGGATAAAATTCCCAAGTACTTTCGAAATTTAACAGAAAAATAAAGTCAGCTCTAAGGGCTATTCAGAAAGTGTAAGCCGAGATGTTAATACCTCAAACCGCCAAAGGCTGTTTATCAAAGACTAGGAAGCTTTGTTAGGCTTAGAAGCTGACTTTAGTGTGTGCGGTCCACTTTGTTTCAGAAAAATCTTTCGTGTCTTTGGTTCTCGCTCAGCGGGCATTGAGCGGACGTGAGACGCAAGAGTACTCCGCGGCTAGTCAAAGGTACTTCCATCTCTTTGTCGCCTGGTTAAACCATCTCCAGGTTAACCTTTCTAACCGACTCATCCAGTATGCAGTTGCCTGATATAGAACTGTGGACTGGCATTAATAAGCGTAAGTCTGACTAGGAAATATACAGCTGGAAGCGAAAAGGAAGTTAGGCATTTCAAATAACAGTCATCTTTGTGTGAAGCATAAGCCTTAAAGAAATTTCCCGACAGGAAATTCCTCCACCAACGATTCCATTTAGCTTCACCTCATCCTTGTAAAAGTCTATCACCTTATAACTCTTGCAGCATCTGGCTGCCAGCGGCAAGGTGTTCATCTGCCTCTCTGGGGCGGTAGCTTATGGTTGTAAAGGCGGCTGACTGCTCACTACATTGACGCTGCGTAGATCACCTTCGACCAATCGAAATGTAGCTATTGGAATATATGTGTTGAGAGTCTCATTTATGTGGAGTTTTCCGCGAATGGTCAGTGATGTGTTACATACTATATTTTGCATAAATATATAAACTGATTGCTACAAAATTTGTATTTGCTATTTTCATTTATCTCAGCAAACTCAGGAATTTCACAATTTAACCAGCTGTTACAGTTCCATTTCCTAGTAAAAGCTAGTAGTCGGTTTTTTCTTATTCCACACAGTTAACGACCATTCTACTTCCTTTCAATATTTACTTGAAATTTGAGATAACTTTTCACACTTTATGTACATATGTACCTACTGTCGTCAATGTTGCCTTCGATTTACGACAACTTCAGCGCTGACCAATCGTCAAATCTCAACAACAAACAACAAACTAAACTGGCCCTGATCTTTCATGCATTCTTCATTCTCGACAAGCTGGCATTCATTGCACCACCATTACCACCAACCACCGAACTACTCAGCCGCTCATACTTCCTTCCGTTCCGTTACTCGGACCATACTGCTTGCGCATCAACTATTCTTTAGCTGCTTAGTTTGTGCTCTGCTTCAATTGTGTCCGATGTCCGACAACTGATGTGGCTGTAGTGGAGCGTTAGAAGCAATCTTGTCGCTGATTGTCCATCTACAATTGAATTGTTGGTTTGTTGCTGTTATATTGTTTACTGCTACCCTGCCTTAGTCACTCAAGTCACTCGATAGCAGTTCAAGCACAAAACACCGCAAACAACTACAAACCGTACTTACTATGGAGCGCTGCAAGGACGAAATCGAGTGATGACCGAATATACCACTTCTGATTTTCTATTTTATTTTGCTACTCAATTTGTATGATTGCTGATGCCATTGTAGATTTTTTTTGTATTGTTTTACTAAGCAGGGATTTGTTGTTTATTGTTGTACACAGTTGTTGGCGTTAGCTCGAGCTTTCTTCATGTGCCGCATTGACTGAATTTTGCTGTATATCTCTGTTTCACTAAATCTCTCTTTATTCCACTTTTTTTGTGAGCTTTCGTTTATGTACTGCAATGTGTTGATAATACTGCAAGTTTCTTGCGGTTTTTTGCTTTGCGGTTTTGAGTTTCTTTTTCCATTGTTTTTGTGATACTAAGCTGGCAAAAAGTTGCTAGGAAATGCAATAAATTTTTTCATACTTTAGTAAGTAAGTAAATCAGTCAAAATGCGATAACAAAAAAATCACATTTCAACACTTTTGACTTAAGAGTGCAACACAACAACTGTTATGTTCATTTTCAAAGAAAAGAAGAAAAAGAAATGTTATAACCGCTTTGTCAACGACGAACGTCACAATTTCTTCAATAACTTCGTTGAAACGTTCAAGTGCTATGCTTGTAATGCACTTAGGCAGCACAAAAACACACCTAACCTCAACATTATTGCAATCAAGCAGCACGGCAACAGTGATAAATAAAAGTAGTTGTACCGTACCCGAAGGCATTTTTTGCACGTTAAATTTACATACATACATACAATTAACACACTCTGCTCGAAACGAGGCGAGGATCTATTTGGAGTCTGTTTAATAATGCAAAGATTTTATTACAGAGAATTATGCCAGAAAGGCAAATAAACCCAGACTTATAAGTTAAATCAATTTTGCTAGTCAAATGATATCTATGTGGATTCCTCAACTTCCTGAACTTGTTTTATTAGGTAGGTTTGGTCTACGCCTGAGGCAAAGTTCAGGTCCCACTCCCCACCCTAAACGTCTGTCTATCAAAAAATATCTGTGTGGATTCCTGAACTTCCTTCATCGTTTTATTAGGTAGGTTTGGTCAACGACTGAGGGAATGCATTCGGGCTGGCATTCCGAAGAATCGTAAATAGGTAAATAGGAATGGCTGAGCACTGAGGAAAACTGAGCGCAGACAATTTTCGAGTCTTGCGTGAGGCAGCGTCACTTCTGCATCATCTGTTAACACACAAAATTTCGTGAACACATAAACAAATAGTTAAGTGAGGGGCACGGCTCATGCATAAGCAATCGTAATATCTCGAAATTATGTGCAAATAGCGCTGATGTTTTTCTTCCAGTGGCAACTACCGCAACCAGGCAAACATAGCCTAAGCTAAACTAGTTTATCTTATTAAGTACATTCTATCATATACTATCCTAACCTGTCCTATTGGATGCTATCCTATCCTAGGCCTCCATCCTATTCTATCTTCTTCTACCTTATCCTATCCTTATCATATTATATCCACTCCTGTCCTATCGTATTCTATTCTATCATATCCTATCCTTTCATATACTGCGCTCTCCTATCCTAGATTATCCTATCCTATCCAGTCTTAGCCTATTCTATCCTATCCTATCCTAATCTATCCTTTCCTATTCTATCCCCTAGGTATATTTTTGAACAGAACAGTTGCTTTTTTAAATTTCTGTTATTTACTTAGTTAAGGAAACTTCCCATTTTACCTAATTAGATACAACCCATTCTGAGATTCCATCACTGGTCAACACAGTCAATACAACGCTAACCAAGTAGCGCTTTAAGAAGCTTAAAAACGTGATGGCAATGCTACAGAGGGAGGTGACAGTGAATTGTTATAGTGTGAAATAGAATTGTTTTTGTAGCATTTCTTACATACATATATATTTTTCTTGTCTATGCTAGTTGGCGACATAATGACTACATAGACTGTCGTTTCCTCTTAGAACTATTTCTTATTGGTTTCTTCATCCAGTCGCATGTTTCTTTTTGCCGTTTTCTTTACGCTTAATTTTTGTTCTTATTTTTATGAAATTGTAGTAAAACTTTTTGCACACTTATTTTTGTTATTGTTATATAATGGCACTTATGTCGTCGTCGTCGTCGTCACAGTCACTTGTGTTTTCCGCGTGCGGTGGCAATGCAATTTCTTAGTTCACATCCGTTACGAAGGAGTGTGTGGTTTTCCTTCACTCACTGATTCCACTTGCCGCCTTCGCTGGCTTGCACACATTTTTTCACTGTCAGTGTGCATTCTGAGTGCACTTTATACTCTCGGTTATTGCACTTGCGTGTTATTCTTCTTGTATTTTCTTATTTTTTTTTTATTTGTAGGCATTTTATCATGGAGAAGTGGCGTATTTTTCTTGTGATGTCTTTCATATTAAATATTCCGTCCTATTTTGCCTTAAGTAGGCGGTATGTTTTCTGTTATTTTTTAATGTTTTAAATATCCTCATTAAACTACTTGCAATTGTCCTTTTTATTAATAACACTCGTTAGCTCTTACTCGTATCCACTTATATTCGCATTTCCGTCCAATTTGTCACGTCGCAATTGCCAAGATGATGCATTACACGCATATTTACTTGCTACATTCATATCTGTGGAGCAATTTTCCACTTTTTAAGCGCAAATGTGGAAGGACTGAAAAACTGAAAGCAGAGGGATGTGCAGTTGGTTTAAACAACTGGCGCAATTTCACAAAGAAAGAAAGAAAAGTAGAAGAAGAATGCAATGATAGAGACGATTGTTTCTAGTTAAATCATTTTTACAAAATTTCCTTAACCTCCGACTTTTTCTTCTACCCTGACGGAACAAATTAAGGTGTCCTGAATGGATTCGGTTAAAGTATTCGCGGAGATCTAAAGTAAATAGTCCTCAGGCAATGCCTTTTAAAAAAACCCTTTTCACCGAAGAAGGGGTTTTCAAAGCATTGCTTATTATAAGGAAAGAAAGCCTTAATACATAAATCCTTAAGATCTTTAAGCCTTACCACTTTCCTTCTCAAGGTTCTAGAAATACTACTAGACTTGCAGATATGACAGCAAATTGATATAACTCTCTAGCTATCAGCATACCTACTGGAAAGACAAGTCTGTAGATACAGTCTTGCATGTTGTTCCAGCGGCTTTTCTCCGCACCCTAACTTGCCTTGGGCTGTATCATCCTCTGGTAGAGTTTATTCGTCGCCTTCTAGGCTGCAGAACTATATATTCGGAGATGGGGCAGGTATCCGTAAGAAGATACGCAAACCGCGGCACCCGTTTCCCTACTACTTTGGAATCCAACGATGAGTACTCCGCTGGCGCGGTTATAGAGAACAGGTTGTCAGGTCACTACTTGCGCTGATCTTCTTGCACTACCGGCAGTTTCTAAGCACCCCCAAGTACTATGAGACTTAATTCAAGGCGCCTTATACTTCGTGGAAACCTGGTCCAAAGGAGCAGTCCTTAGTGTTAGTGTGTGTGGGAATTCAAGCCATTGTGAGCTGGTTAAACACAGCGATTGCGAGGCCTATTCTGTTCTCACGGTTTTGTAGCCGTTCGTATATCTTAACTATGGATAGTACTGATCTGATGAAAATATCCCACGACACAGCATCCATGGATAAAAGGTTAAACCAACGATGGACACGAATACAAAGAAATAACTAGAGAGCACAAAAACTTCTCTACAACTGGTGGTAATAACTGTAGCTCGTTTCTGTAACTTTTCTCTACTGGTAGAGAATATACGTCATTCTCTACTACGCATTAGAAGTAGAGAACAGGGCGGCGAATTCATATCTAAATTCGCCTTGGCGGAGAATTGAGCTACAGGTGGGACTTCGCAAAATTGAGAAGCTATCGACGAAGCTTTTTGGTCCATACTGACAAACGATTGGAATGCCGAATAACTGCCGTCCCTAAATTGGAGGGCTAAGTGTTGCCGTTTTCTAACGCCAACGCGCGCTATAACTAAATAAACGCGTCAAAATGTTGACGTTTTCTCATTTCCTCTCGTTGTTAATCTCGTTTCTGCTTTAATTTTTTTGTTCTCTTTCTTTCTTTCTGTGTGTCACCTGCGCTCAGCTTCAACAATCTCATTTTCTCGACCCTAACGCCGCGTTTTTGTGGGATGATTTATACAAATTGTATAGGTATGAGGACCTTTGACAGCTCTTTGGCGCTGGATGCGCCAATTTAAGGGCGACAGTAAGAGAAAAAATTAGAATTAAAGGTCAACGATTCTAGCACCTACTGCGTTATGTTAGCAAATAAAGACACGTGTCTGGGAAGACTACAGAGCCAAAAGCGATTTTACACTGAACCAAAAATCTATCTCTGGATCAAAGAAAAACTTTCCTTACTTTATGGTCGAAAATTCTTCCGAATGAGTAAAAAATTCTCCCGAATGCGTAATTTTTCTTTGGAATGTGTAAAAACGTACACGGAAATATGGAACCGTGGATGTGATCTATCATTTTGAAGACATGTTGGGCATGAAAAGAGGATAAAACTTCTTTAGTGCTGTTTCGTTCCCATTTTTCTTCAGTTTGATTGCTATTTTTCTTCAATTAAGAGAAGTTTTTTTTTTTTTTTTGGGTTTACTCCTCTTAAGGCCAAACCACACGACTGGTGAATTTTTATAGGCAATGTACAATTTGACAATTACAGAGTGGTATTATTTGAAATTTGTTTCATGAAAAATTTCTAGACAACACCAATCTGTGTCTGCTAAAATGTATACATTTGTACAAATGCATCAATCGTGTGATTTGGCCTTTACCCAGTAAATGAAGCGACCAAAAAATATACACATTTTCAACTTAAACAAAAAAACGATTTATCATCGAATTCAAATTAATCATTCAAATTCAAGCGTAATTTATAAAAGAACTATTTAGAATTTTAAAATTTGCAAAAACCTTAATCGTTTTTTAATAGCATAAAAATTAGATTATTTCGATGTGACTAAAATATCCAACAGTCTTTAAAGAGCACTGAACTGAGAATGGCCGAAAGAGCTTATACTATAGCTTTAGTATTTATTATTTTGGTAATATATTCAGCACATGCAGGAATAAAGGTAAAACAATAAATAAATTAGTAAGCGAAAACTTATCTCAAAGCCCTTTTTAAACTGGTTCAATAATAACAACCCCTCACAGCGAAATTATGCCATAACCTTGGATAGCGTAAATTATACCATCCACCAGCAAGGTTGGTTGAACGTCGAACAATTCTACTGTGGCAGCAATAGTATTGGCTTGAGCACCTTCACTTTACACTTACGTGTGCAAAAAAATATTACTGAATTTCAAATACGTGATAATTTTTTTATTTTACGCAAAGGAAACACAATACAGAATACAGAAGTAATTAACGCCTGTGACATGTTAAATGGGAATTATGGCAATGCCATGATAAAGCTTAGCATACTGGAGCTGCATCAAGTGACGCGACCAGTGTTTTTGTGTCCACTGATTGAGGTAAATATTTCTATTGATTTCTTAACATTAATTTTGTAGTTTTTTTGCAAGTTTATTGTGCTTAAGTATTAATTTTTTTTTTTGCCTTTTGCAGAACACACTTTATATCATCACCAACTATACCTTGCGTCCCAGTGTATACCCACCATATTTACCTCTAATGAGTTACGTTGAAATAGTTGAATTCTCTATGGGTGGTGTACATTATTTGGATTTAATCTTTAAAGGTAGAGTTAAGAAAGCATAGAACATATTAATCGATAACGACTAGAAAATTAAATATTAAAAGTTTGTCGATGAAGTACTATATAACAAATTGGAAGTTAATATTAAAAAAAAACCTACATTAATAAAGGAAGTGTTGTTCGATAAAGAATGGTCAAGCATAACCTTACAATAGATGGAACATTGTATCTCCGGCAGATGTTTTCTATTTTTTAGTCAGCTGAGTCACAAATTAATTAAATAAATTTTCTTCTTCTTTTTGTTGGCCTAAGAGATTTTTTTCGAGTTCAACAAAGCACGCCAGTCGTTTCTCTTCTGTGCCAACTGACGCCTATTGGAAATGACAGGTGAAGCCAAGTCCTTTTCCACTTGGTCTTTCCATTGCAGAGGCTTCCCTCTTCTTCTGTTACCAGCATCGCGGCTAGGAACATTCCGATACATTCAAAGTATCGATACGTAGTTAAATGAGTTTACTCAAATCGCTATTTCCATACGACTTATTTGAGTAAACCGAATGTATCGATAGCTACTTATATCGATAATTTTTCATCCTTTTGTAAAGGTTGTAAAGCTCATATGCGTTCCATCGTCTGCGGTATTCACCATCGCCAAACGCGTAACGGCCCGTAAATCTTCCGCAAAATCTTTATCTCGAATACTCCTAAGAGCTGCCTCATGAGATGTTGTCAATGTCCCTGCTTCTGCGACATATACCGGCACAAACATGATGAGTGACTTATAGAGTGTGGTTTTCGTACATCGAGAGAGGACTTGACTCCTGAATTGCCTACTCAGTCCAAAGTAGCACTTGTTGGCAAGAGTGGTTCTGCGTTGACTTTCAATGCTGACATTATCATCGGTGTTAATGCTTGTTTCCAAGTAAACGACATTCTCCACTTTCTCGAAGTTATAACTGTCAACAGTGACGTGGGTTCCAAGGCGTAAATGCGCTGACAGTTTCATAGATGACAGGAGATACTACGTCGTGTCCTCGTTTACCATCAGACCCACTCCCTTTGCTTCCTTATCCAACTTAGAATAGGCAGAACAGACTTCGCGGTTCTTGTTACCGATGATGTCGATGACATCGGCGCACGCCAGCCTGTTGCTGAGCGGTTCAGTTCTGCAGCTCTTATTCTCCAACCTCACATAAAAAAAAAAAAAAAATCATAAGAAAGGGAGTCGCCCTGTCTGAAACCCCGCTAGGTACCAACCGGCTCGGAGAAGTCTTTCCCGATTCTCGCGGAGGAGGTTGTATTGTTCAACACCATTTTACACAGCTTTATCAGTTTTGCGAGGATACCAAATTCACACAACTCCTGCTGTCGAAAGCGGCTTTGAAGTCGACAAATAGATGAGTGAGGTTGGATAGGTGAGTGTCGGTCCTATTCTCGCGAGTCTTTTTCGGGATTTTACTTTTGAGTGATTGTGAATACCTGGTCTATGGCGGCTTTGCCAAGTCTAAACCGTACTAAAAAGGCCCAAACATCTCGTTGATGGTAGGATTCAGTCTTTCGCACAATACGCTTTATAAAGCCTTGTAACCTATGTTTAGATGTTTTAGTTGGCGCGAATGGCGGGGTCGCTGTTCTTGAGATTGGGCAGAGAACACTCAAAGCCAGTCGTCGTGCATGCGCTCATCTGACCATACTTTGCATGAGAGTTGATGCATGCACCTTATCAACTCCTTGCCGCCGTACTTGAATAGCTCGGCTGGCAGGCCGTCCATAATTGCTATTCGTACCTCGCCATAGTCCGGCGGTGGAACATTGACTCCGTCATTATTGACTGGGGTCTTTGCATTCTAAGGGTTTGTCTCAGAGCTCGATGCGCTGACTAGACGTTCATCTTTCCAGCGGCAGACTGAATGTGTGCAATGGAGCCATAACACAAGCTTTACCCGAGAGCAGCCTAAATTTGAGGTTGATGGAGAGTTTTTCGTAGATGACGCTTCCACCTATCCACCAATTCAACTTTGATCAATCCGTAAATAAATTAACTGGGCCTGATTCCAAAGATTGCACTCCATCCACTCTTCGCTTGAAGGGAAAATGAATCGTGAAGGATCCATTCGAACCCAATATTGGTACAAAGTGGTTTAATAAGGTTGGGATCAAAGCTGTTAAAATTCCGTATTATATCGGCTGACGTAAATATTTTTTCAACATCGTGAGTAAAATAGTACCAGAAAAGTGGAAAATTTTTGGAATTTTTCAAAAATGTGAAGATATATTAGAATTCTAAGAATTTTCTAGGTTTTATACGCAAGTACCATGAACATAAGAATTTTTCTACAATTTGTGATGTTTCACATCTTTACATTTTAGGATGGATTTAAGAATAAATAAAATTCTCAAAATTTTGGAAAATATAAAAAATTCTAAAATCTCAATAAATTCGTACATTTCAAAATATTTTCATTTAACCAAAATTTCTAGAATCTAAGATTTCGAAAGTTTTTAAAATTTTGGGTATTATCCTCAAAATAAGAAATCTCAAGATATTTATTAATTTCATAAAATTCAAAATTTTGGAATTTTTGTTATTTTCTAAACCTGCAAAAATATTCAAACTTGCTGTGACTTTCAACTATGTAAAATAGTACAATTCAAAGAACTGATAGGCATTTTTCGCTAGTGTATTATAATTATATGATACAAATATATTTTTTCAGAAAAAAACGAAATTGAAATATAACGAAAATTACGCAATTATGCGGACGCAGATACGGTCAATAATTGCGCAATTTTGTAAGTGCTCACGATGTTGCAAGAAAATCGCAATCACGTGTGTTCACCGGGCGGCTTAATTCTTTTTTTTTTTCTACAAAAATGTATATTTGTTTTAAAACTGGTACTCGTTCCAAAATGGGTATTTTTTCCTTAATGATAAAAAGATAATTTTTCAATTCTCTCGGCACACGCACAACGCTGTTAATTGCACAGCTTTATTTTTAATATATGGATCAGGGGCCAAGCGAAGATTACCAAAAACTCATGAAACAGAACGAAGCAAGAAAAAAAACGATCAGTATTTTCTTTAAGTTTTCCTAAAAATTATACTGTACAGCAACCGGGCGGGGTACTGGACCAAACCAATTTTTTTAAGGGATTGAATAACAATTTAAAAAGTAATTTCTCCGTTTTTTAAAGTTAGCCTCCAAAATCGAGCTGGGCCTTCGAATTTCGAAATTGGACGATTGATAAAAAATTATTTTTAATTACTGTATGTAAACAACTAAAAAAAAGTAAAAACATAGTCGTGGTACGCCTTTTGCTCTTTAAACGGGATATGACTTTTTTGTGAAAAACTTATATTACAGATTCTGTAGGGGGTCAAAGCTCAGATCTTGGAAAAATTAAAAACCTCCACCTGTAATATAGGTTTGCACAGAAAAAGTTATAAACCGTTTATATAAGAGCACAAGGCGGACTACGCCTTATTTTTACTTTTTTAGTTATTCGCATACAATAATTAAAACTAATTTTTTACCAAAGGACCTATTTCGAACTTCGAAAGCCCATATTTCGATTTCGGAGGCTAATTTCGAAAAACGGATAAATTACTTTTTTACTTATGACTTAATCTCTTAAAAAAAAATGTTTAACTTCCTTTTTAACATAAATGGGAAGTATCAATCAATTGCAATTTAGTATTATTTTAGTCGATTGCCAAAGGGCACACAATGAGATATCAACGAATATTCGAAAAATTTTGTTTATACGAAAAACTATCACAAATTCATGAATATGAAATAGAAACTTACCTTCGCAGACTGCAGCATCTTTTGTTCACGGAATTGTTTCTCAATAATAAGATCCAAAGTACAAAATAAATCACATAATAAAATCTACAGTGTTTTTCAATCAGCTGTAAATTTTCCCATATCTGGGGAAACTTTGCGGATGAACTGCGAGCAATGTACTAATTGATTAGTTCAGAAATGGTGCTGAATGTATTTCCAAGATATATTCACTGAGTCGCGCGTCTTTCAAAATTTAACGCTTCTAGTTGAAGGCCTACCCAAATAACATGATACTTCAAGCTGATACCACACGGCTAAAATTTTAAACTTAAGTGAAATTTGACACACTTTTTCCATGAATTATAATTTTCAAAAGCATCCATTCATTATATATTCTGGCAATGATATTTCACGATATTCAGGGAAATTGAAATATTTTCGTATTTAATATGGATATCTCACTCATCATTTTTTACAGTGGAATATTATGAAAACGCATGTTACACAAAAACTGCTCAACCATATCTTTGGCCGAGTGTTGAGTCAACTCCACCGATCTGAACTTGCAGGAGGCAGGCTAATTTGATTTCAAACGCAACCCTGGAACCTGTTTATGATGTGTAGCTCAATCAATTTTATTGTATTTAAAAGAAGCGATGAGAGCCTGATTGCTGGGAAGTCCCGGAGCATTCATGCATATTCATGCTGATAAATTACATAGTTACAGTTGTTCTTCACAATTTTATGAAATACACAAGTTTTGGTACATGGTTCACGAAACTAACGGCCATTTTTCGTCTACGGGCCGCAGCCACACATAAATAACAATATTTTGTGCTCTAATAAACCAACCAATATGTAAATTTTCGCAGATATTATCCAAGGCCTAAATTTCACCCACTGCCATGAAGGTTTTACTCACAGCCACAGCGTAGTTGCCAACACTTTTGGTCAATGCTTACTAATAACCCAACAATCCACAGATATTTACAAAACTTGAAGGATATGAAATTAGAAACAATAAACCAGTAAAAACTTAAGCAATAGCAACTTAATAACGCGCTTTTCACTTAAAACTTCAAAAGTCAACTTGTTACGGAACTTCCTGTTCCTGCAGCCACCAGCTGTTTTAATAAAACAGGGCGCCACAAATATAACAATTAATAAAATAAAAAATCTTATGAGCAACGATCATAAGGAAATTTCAACGTTATGTATTTTGCTTGCAAAAAGTACAACGAATAAGTACAATTTTGTGCAATGTCTATCGCTCACTGTTGTTAGCAAAAGCCAAAACATTCTAATATGTTTATTAGACGAAAATGTTTATCATTCCTTTTTCATTTGATTCGCCCGCTACTTGAACGTGTCTCGTTGTTTGCGCAAACAAAACATGGTGTAAATCGGATCTGTATCGCCAGTGTATTGTTGCACATCCGGATGGTCGACACGCATAAATGGATTCCAGAGTCTCTCCTCGCACAGCAGCGATGGCGGAGTAGGCAATTTATTTTCGCGTTGTTTCTGCGCCCAAACTAAACGCGAGTGAATATTTGAGTTTTCGGGTTCCACAGTTTCGGCAAAACGCAAATTCAAAATTGTATTCTCGTGACCGCCAAATACACGCGACTCTTTGGGAAGTGCACAGAAACGTTTTACGATGGCATACATTTGTTCCGGCGTGCCCTCATCAAAGCCGCCGCAGCCACCTTGAAAGAGTGTGTCACCAGTGAAGAGTGCGGGCGGACCACCCGCACCGCACTCCACAAAATAGCAATAATGTCCCACTGTGTGGCAAGGTGTATGCAAGCAGTGAATTGTCATCTGGCCCAGCTTTATTTTCTCATCACGCTTTATGCAATGATTTACGGCCTTGATACGCTCATCACCGGCACAGATTTTCACTTCCGGGCACGCGGTGGCCAATTCTGTTGTGCCCCCAGAATGATCCTCGTGATGATGGGTAATAAAAGCGTAGGAAAGTTTCATTTTCTCCTGTTTGAGTACATCAAACAGAATTTTGTTATCCGATAGATCGATGGCAGCTGTACAGCCGGTGGGCAAGTCGGTTATCTTCAAAAAGGAAAATAATGAAAATTTGTATTATGTATTTGCAACGACGCATCGCCGATTTTACCAAATACATGTAGTTGTTCTTGCGTGCGGGTATTATCTTTACTACCATACCCTCACAACGTACGTCCACAATTTTGCTGTGCAGATCAGGAGCAGCGGCTGNAATGCAATGATTTACTGCCTTAATACGCTCATCACCGGCGCAGATTTTCACTTCCGGGCACGCGGTGGCCAATTCTGTTGTTCCCCCAGAATGATCCTCGTGATGATGGGTAATAAAAGCGTAGGAAAGTTTCATTTTCTCCTGTTTGAGTACATCAAACAGAATTTTGTTATCGGACAGATCGATGGCAGCTGTACAGCCGGTGGGCAAGTCGGTTATCTTCAAAAAGGAAAATAATGAAAATTTGTATTATGTATTTGCAACGACGCCTCGCCGATTTTACCAAATACATGTAGTTGTTCTTGCGTGCGGGTATTATCTTTACTACCATACCCTCACAACGTACGTCCACAATTTTGCTGTGCAGATCAGGAGCAGCGGCTGCCGGCTTAGGTGTTGCAGTATCGGCCCACATACGACGCGCTCGCCACACTATCATGCGTGAAATTAAGGTAAGCGCATTTAATAGATAACCCAAAATAATACAAACCGTTATTATATATATTGTGGGCTAAGCCACGCCCAAATAGTGAGCACATTTAATTCAGCTAAGTAATTTCTATTACGAAAATTTATAATTTTCAATGTTTAGGCAGAAATCACAAATGGTTTACTTCAATTTTTAATTCAGCTTGAATCATATTGACATAAATACATAAATTCACAGTTTGTTTAACACAATTCATTAACTTGAATTCCAAGTAGCAATAAAAATGAAGTGTGTAGTAATGTTAAGTTAGTTATTAAGAAGAAATGAAGATCTCTTCTCTCATACTTGTTGAAAATTTTCAAGAAGTTCGTTAATTTACTGTGCTATTTAGCACTAAAAGTCCCAAAATCGTATGTAAATAAGATTCTTATAATTACTATACCCCAAAGCATGATAAAAACATACTAAGGTAGAAGCAAGGTGTATTAAACAAGGTGTGATTCGACAACTCAGTGCGGCTCTTTGGTTGCCAACATTTTAAAATCGTATAAGATTGAAAATAAAAAACTTAAATTGTTCAAAATTGTTGTTGCTTGAGATTGAAAGTTAAAATGTGTGTGTGCTAGTTTGTGAGTAAATTTTGAAATCGAATTGCTAGGAAACGTCAAGAATTTTAAGAGTGCCTCTCAGCGGTTCTACCTTACTATATTTTTATCATGCCCCGAAGTAATATAAAGACTTCTATGTACATATGTATATATAAACAACCAAACCAACAAAAGATACATAACCCTATATGTAAAAACAAAACTTAAATGTGCGCCTATTTCCACAGTACCACCATCATCAACAGCACTCTTTGTTCTCTTCGCCCTCATTTCCTTCCCTAAGCTTTGAAGTTGTCCTTTTCCCTGCGCAAGCTGCCCATAGTCTTAATGGGATCCTGTTCATTAGCATGCTTTTGCACATTGGCCTCGTGTACACGCATAAATGGATTCCAAGACTTCTCCTCGCCAATGGTCGAGGGCACAGTGGGTGATTTGGTAGCGCGGCGTAACTTTGCCCATTCGATGC